CCCGGGGAAAACAGAAAGCCGCTGAGAAAGAACGGTTAGTGCAAGGCGCCCTCGCTCAGCGCGGCCGCGGGACCCAGCGCGGTCGGAGCGGGGCTGCCCGGGCCCCTGCGGCGCAGTCACAGTCTCCAATGATCACTTTTGTGACTATGCAACTGGGCTTCATATCACTAGCTGCAACGTCACAAAAATGACACTGGCCACCGCTAAGCCGCTGGCATGGGTGGCTGTCCTACCGCGGGCCATCTGCCCGTTACTTGTGACTAAGCCTGAAGCATTTTCTTTCTTTTTAATTTTTTTTTCCTTTTTTGCCATAGGGTGCGTGCAGAGAGAGAAAATGAGAAATCACCCCTTGGGGGGTGGCCGCTCTGCAATCCTTCTCCTTGAATCTCCTCTTGGGATTTTGGGCACGCATGTACACGTGCCAGGTGTGATTTTTAGACCTTTGGTCCAGGGGTAAAACCACAGCGGGCCACGTGGGAGTCTGGCGCCTTGGCCGCTGTGTGGCCTGCTGGCCCTCGTTCATTCGCAGCCCTCCTGGGCCCAGCTCTCCAGGCTGTAGCAGGGGGCCTCCATTTCTCCTCGTGACTCTGCAATCGCACAGGGCCGGCCGAGTGAGCTTCAGCTCCACGCAGGGATCTGGACGAGGACGCGTGCCTGGAGGCTCGTGTGCACACACTGCCAGAGGAGTGCCAGGGCCCGGCGAGCGTGGGAATGACCACCTTTGCAGATCGGTCCACCCTGACGACGCGGTTTGCAGAGTCCGTGTCAGGGGACTGTGGGACTCCAGGTGGCACATCTGAAAATGCATCTATCGAGCAAATGTTTGCAATGGCCAAGAGACTGGAAGGGCCCTGGGAAGGGCTGAGCAGTAGCTGCTACTCGAGATGCACTCGGCAGCCTGGCCCCTCTGCATCCCAGGGAGGGGACAGCAGGACAGCCACCGAGCATGGCTTCAAGTCCACGTCTCTCCAGGACTGTCTGCATGTCCTCCCCGGTCCAGGCTGATTCATATCAAAAAGCTTGCTTTGTTTCTCGAAGTAGACTAAAAGGTGGCGTGAGCAGTCAGACAGCTTTGGATCTGCGCCTGGAACTCGGACCCCAAGGGAAGCCTGAGCTGCAGGCTGACACAGCTTTCCAGCTCCCTCCACCTGCCCCAGCGGGACTTGGCCTCGGGTGAGAAGCCGTCGGGACACCGATCCCTTCGCGACGCCGTCTGGCACTGCATGGAGACGGGCCTGGTCCTGTATCGCCTCTCTGCACGTTGGCTGTGCTCCTGAGCAAGTGGATTTCCAGTCCGCTTACGGCGGGGAGGTGCCCTGGCACGGAGCATCTGGTTACCGATGCTGCTTGATCTCTGCCTGTTCTTTGTGGCCGTTTTCGTGTGACGGTGGTCACAACGGGCATGCCCAGTCACGCATAAGTCAAGCTTTGGTCTCATGTTTTTTAGAACTGACGTTGCCTTCCAGTAAGAGCCCAGCAGACACTCCAGCAGGTGGGTAAACGCACTCTGACACGCGACACCTGACGGAGCGGC